ACTCTGGACATGCATTTGGATGCCTTCCTGACCCGATGCTTTCCGAGCGTTGGACTCATCTCAACGCACCTGGTCCTACCAACGTCCAGATGCATGTAAAGTGTTCTGGAGTGGAGAGAGCCCCTGGTTTCTGACTGGGCTGCGCCCGTCATTCGAGGAGTGGTTTTAGCACCACGATCGTCAAATGCCCCAAACCTAAATGAATCTTTCGCTAAAACATGTCCAGATGCACCTCCATTTCCTCCTCTCCCCCCCACTCCCTTTTTCTGCATGCGCTAAGTACTGGGGCCTCGCCCCACATGCCATCGAATAGTATAGTTTACTACCTAGTCTGTGTGACAGTGGAACTGTGTGGCAGTGGAAGGCGGTGACAGTGGAACTGTGTGACAGTGGAAGGCGGGAAACGAATACGACCTTCTGCATTCACGATCGTTTGCCGCCTGAACCTGAATAATAAATGGGTCTCGGTTCACTACTCTCCTCTGTAGAACATGGACAGATACACCGGGACAGATACACCTCCACGATTTTCGCCCCACTACTGTGGACGATTTTTGACGATTTTTGCCTTTTGCTTCAAATCAATACACATGCCCCTTCTTCTTCTTCTTCTTCTTCTTCTTCCTCCTCTACTCTCTCTCTCTCTCTCTCCCCCCCTCCCTCTCTCTTCACCGCTCCCTGTCTCTCTCTCTGGTCAGGTACCTCCTCCCTCCCGAGGAACCGCGCGTGTGCCATCACGCGCGAGCGCCTCTTTCTCTCTCTCTCACTTTGGTCCCGTTGTTCAGGCTATCTTATGGGCGTGGCTGTGCTTTCACGTGGGACCGGCCATTCGGGGTTTTTGGCATCCTGGTTGGTTGTTTCCCGTTGTTCGGCCCTTTGAGAGTCGGGGCGGTGCTTGTACGTGGGAATCGTCATCCGGGATTGTCTTCTCTTTTTTTCTTGGTTGTCACACTGTGGATCGTCGCTTTTTTATGTCTTGTCCTGGGTGGTCTTGTCCCGTTNCTTGGTTGTCACACTGTGGATCGTCGCTTTTTTATGTCTTGTCCTGGGTGGTCTTGTCCCGTTGTTTGGCCTTTGACGGAGCGGGCGGTGCTTGAATGTGGGACTTGTCATCTGGGATCTGTTTTGTTTCCCTCTGTTCTATTTGTTTCATTTGGCTGTTCCCTTCCTCTCTTCTTTGCCTCTTTGCCTCTTTGCCTTTTGGCTGTGTGCAAGTGGGTCGATATGACACACGGGGGTGGGGGCAGCCGCCGCTCAATCTACATCCACGTGGGCGGCCTTGTACGCAAGAGGTTCTGAACAGGGGGAGTTATAAGGAAGAAGATAAAAAATTGAACTCAATTTTCCCTGGTTTTCTTCTCCTTTTTTCTTTTTTTCGCATTTGCGCTCTGATATTCATGTGACAATATATATATATATTTCTCACAAACACACACACCCCTTTTCCTCATCCGTCAAACTTGGATCGATACAGACAAAATTCGCATTTGCGCTAACCGGATTACATTGATGAATCGTGTTTTTCCTCTTCGTGCTCTTTTTCTTCATGCTCTTCCCCTCCCCCCACCTCTCTCTCTCTCTCTCTCTCAGGTAGAAGGGTAATCGCGACGTTTTTTGTCGGATGCCATGGACAGGACGTGTATACTGCGAAAGTAAAACCTCCCACGTGTTGTCTATTGCTGCAAGTCTCTCTCTCTCTCTCTCTCTCTCTCTCTCTCTCTCTCTCTCTCTCTCCACACACACACTTTGTGTCCATTTATTGGGTGGGCCTCGCTCCACGACTCTCTCTCGAAATGTGCAAAACCATGGACATGGAAAGATACACTGCCATGAGTATGCACGTTTCCACGAACAAGTCCAGATGCAGGCTTTCAAAGTAATACTCGTTTTTTGTTTTTTTTTCTTTTAATCCCTCGAAACCGACAGTAGGATTACACAACCTGCCCTTTTGGAAGGGGAGCCAGCAGCCTACTGTTTTGTGATTGGTTGGGGTGTCATGTTGGAGTCACGTTGGGGATGGCAGGAGAGGCACGGGCGTTGTAGTTTTCTATGAGGGGTATTTTGGGGATAGTAAACTACTATGAGGGGTATTTTGGGGATAGTAAACTACTATGAGGGGTATTTTGGGATAGGAAACTACTATGAGGGGTATTTTGGGGATAGGAAACTACTATGAGGGGTATTTTGGGGATAGTAAACTACACGGGAGGGATTACACACACGTGGCTAACTCCTTTTTTTTTTTTTTTTTTTTTTTGAAGTCCTTATCTGTGGATGGATGTGTTTTTTTATTTTATTTTTTATTATTATTATTTTTTTTTTATACATGGCGTTATACTTTGCCCTGCTCTGCAGCATGGGCTGTCTTGTTCATGGAGTAACCACGTCTTTTTTTCCGGGGGAGGGGGGAGTTTGGGTTTTTTTTTGGCCATTATATCTCTACGAGGAGGCTCGGAGAGTGTGGGCTGTGGGTGTCATTACCGCAGGCTCTGCTCTTTCTGAGCACATGGAAGAATGGGGTATGGAAGAATATGGGGTAGCTTCTAGGGTGTTTAAGGAGTAGCGCTCCTGGTGTCGCACCGAGATCTTGTGAAATTTGGCATAGTACTCGCAGTGGCCTCGCTGTAGCGCTAGGACATCGTCCGATTCTGCAGGCTGCACGGCAGGGGGAGGAGGTTCGTGACACTCTTGGTGTTGCGCACAGGTCCTGCGGTGTATTGTTTTCTTTGCGGTGGTGGTGTAAGGCGTCACAGAGAGCTCTAATCTTTTTTCCAGACACATTTTTGGGCATGTGTGGTCGGTGTTTTTTTTTGTTAGTGGAACCTTTTGTGTTATATGGTGTTTTCCTAGGCTACTAGAGTGGCCCGGGGTCACTTGCCCGGCCGGGCCAAAAAGATCAAAAATATATATATATATTTTAAAATTTTATTTTATATTTTCAGTTTGGTAAAGAATTTCGATGTGAGCCTGAGGCAAAAGTTGTTTAGTTTATTTTTCTACATAACATAGTATTTTTTCAGATGTTTTGGATTTTTTTTTTTTTTTGCTGGGACCTGCCCTTGTCCTTGCACGGGCTGGTAACCCGGGACCCGGGCTGCCCGGCTGGTAGCCTAGGTGTTTTCTGGTTTTGTGGGCCGACTTGGAGGGCTCTTCAAGTTCATTCGGAGCTATGGAGGATGGGCTCGGTGCTTTGTTGCTGGTAAAGTCCTAAGTTGCTTGTTGCCCTCCACCCTTTTATGGATTAAATAAATATATATGTATATACAAGGGTTGCCGGCGATTGGGACGGGCCGAACGCACGAACGAACGGGACGCCTTCGGAAGGCGTTCGGCCGTTCGGGCCGAACGCGGACCCCCCCAAAAAAAAAAAAAAAAAATGGTTTTTCAAAAAGTTCAAAAAAAAAAAATTATGGAGAAAACTAAACTAAACAACATTTGCCTGGGTTGAAGTCCCACCGCCGAAGTTTTCTCAACGCTGAGCTTTCTATCACAGGTGGCATGGTGGGACGGAGCTCTGCCGTTGATGTATTGAGAATCTAAGGGTACCAAAATACAGGAGAATAACCTATTAGATTTGGTCGTTTTGTACATTTTTTCGTCGACGTGAAATCCGTTTTGTCGTATGCTTTGGCCCTTTCCGTTTGGGCAGGAAACCATTTTCCGTTGAGAAAACTACCCTACAGAGAGTAGGGTACATTTCTCAACTTATCTGCCTTTCGTTTTTTTTTTTTTTTAAGACATCATTACACCCTGAAACGGAGGAGCTCTGACACCTCTGTTTGGCTCTCTCCCATCAAACTCTCTTCCTTCTTTGGGCAATGAACGCATCTGGCCATCCATGTTGTCCCTGTCCATT